TGCGGATGACGATCACCACGGCAAGCTATGTCAACCATCGCCCAGTCTAGGGACTCCTCTAGACAATTTCCAGTAAACCATAGGCTACAAACCACTTGATGATGTACGCGCACCTCGGGCGAGGCTCGGACACGCGGCCATGGGCTTATAAGGCACGCGCTCTGCCGACTGAGCTACCGAGGCGAATGCAGCATTAAAAATAGTAAAAGATAGACTGCTACACTCTTCCAAGACAATTCCTAGTAAACCATAGACTAAAAACGACTTGATGACGTATGCGCACCTCAGGCGGAGCTCGAACCTGCGGCCACGGGCTTAAAAGGCACGCGCTCTGCCGACTGAGCTACCGAGGCGAATGCAGTACTTGACCTAGTGAAAGATAGACCGCTACACTCTGCCAAGGCAATTCCTTGAGAGCTTAGCGAAGCGTTGCGGCAGTGAAATCACCTCAGTAACGAGAGACTATGCAAACCTGGAACGCACCGCGAAGAGCACACAATCTGTACGTGCATACGCACACATGCGTGCAAGATACATGTGCGGCCATCCCACGGAACTTAGCCTAACAATTCCTTGTTTCCAAGTGGAGCAGCAATGCACCACTGGCCTGATGCGCTTTGACGTCCTCTGCGGAGGCGTATATCCGACTACGTTGGGTAGTCTACTTGTTGATTCGGCACAGTGGGGCCGGGAAGTGGCCGAGAGATCGCCCATTCCAAGTATGACTCATACTGTATGAGTTCCTATGGGGTGACTAGCGCTCGTGTGCGACGAGAGTGGAAGTGTGTACTTCCACCCCATTCATGCCTATATTAAACGTCCTCTGTGGGGAACGTTATTCGTCCGCGGTAATTAGTCTACCCGGTAGACTCTACCGGCCCAGCGGGCCTGGGAGATGGTCGAAAAAGGAAATCAACCATTCTAACAACCGTGAGACACTACGATATGACTAGCGCTTGCGTTCGAGGGTAGGAGTGGAAACTCTCACCTCGTTCACTTCTAATGAACGTTGTCTATCCCCAACGTTCTCTGTGGAGAACGCGGTCCAGAGGGACCGGTAAGTGGCTGAGAAATTGGTCATTTTAAGTACTGTGTGCAACTGAGAGTTGCGTCGGTCCAGTGGGGCCAGGAAGTGGCTGAGCAATCGGCCACTCCAAGTACTGTGAGCAACTGAGAGTTGCGTCGGTCCAGTGGGGCCAGGAAGTGGCTGAGCAATCGGCCACTCCAAGTACTGTGAGCAACTGAGTGTTGCGTCGGTCCAGTGGGGCCAAGAATGGGCTAAGAAATCGCCATTCCGAGTACTGTGAGCAACTGGGAGTTGTGTCGGTTCAGTGGGGCCAGGAAGTTCCTATGACTCAGTCTCAATCATTCAGGGCATGGGAAGTATATAGTTACCTCCTACATTGATTTACCACCACGATGCCATATGTGAATCCAGAGTGTGGGATTGGAATAGGGGGATGTGTGCCGGGCCCGTATCGGTGTGCAACAAGTAAAACCTAGTTCGCACCATGCGGTCCCTGCCACATAGAACCTTCGGCGCATTTGCAGGTTATGGATTCCCAGATTGCCGATCTACAGATAAGACAATGAGACTACTAGTATGAGACTAGTGGCAACGTTGAACGTTGCTTGATTGGCAATCTCGCGCACACTTGGAAATCCAGCCTTCGCTGAATGGCGCCTCGGTTCTCCAATCCCACCCTCTCGAGTCGGAGGGGCTTTCATTGAGAGCTTAGCGAAGCGTTGCGGCAGTGAAATCACCTCAGTAACGAGAGACTATGCAAACCTGGAACGCACCGCGAAGAGCACACAATCTGTACGTGCATACGCACACATGCGTGCAAGATACATGTGCGGCCATCCCACGGAACTTAGCCTAACAATTCCTTGTTTCCAAGTGGAGCAGCAATGCACCACTGGCCTGATGCGCTTTAACCACACCCACCCGACCCGGGGGATGTGTGCCGGGCCCGTATCGGTGTGCAACAAGTAAAACCTAGTTCGCACCATGCGGTCCCTGCCACATAGAACCTTCGGCGCATTTGCAGGTTATGGATTCCCAGATTGCCGATCTACAGATAAGACAATGAGACTACTAGTATGAGACTAGTGGCAACGTTGAACGTTGCTTGATTGGCAATCTCGCGCACACTTGGAAATCCAGCCTTCGCTGAATGGCGCCTCGGTTCTCCAATCCCACCCTCTCGAGTCGGAGGGGCTTTCACGGCAAACCATGGACTAAAAACCACTTAATGATGTATCATACATCATGTATGCGTACCTCGAGCGGGGCTGAAACCCGCGGCCTCGGGCTTAAAAAGCACTCGCTCTGCCGACTGAGCTACCGAGGCGAATGCAGCATTAAAAATAGTAAAGGATAGACTGCTACACTCTTCCAAGACAATTCCCAGTAGACCATAGACTAAAAACGACTTGATGACGTATGCGCACCTCGGGCGGAGCTCGAACCCGCGGCCACGGGCTTAAAAGGCACGCGCTCCGCCGACTGAGCTACCGAGGCGAATGCAGCACTTGTCCTAGTAAAAGAGAGACCGCTACACTCTTCCAAGGCAATTTCCAGTAAACCATAGACTAAAAACGACTTGATGACGTAGCGCACCTCGGGCGGAGCTCGAACCCGCGGCCACGGGCTTAAAAGGCACGCGCTCCGCCGACTGAGCTACCGAGGCGAATGCAGCACTTGTCCTAGTAAAAGAGAGACCGCTACACTCTTCCAAGGCAATTTCCAGTGAACCATAGACTAAAAACCACTAAATGATGTATGCGCATCTCGGGCGGGGCTCGAACCCGCGGCCACGGGCTTAAAAGGCACGCGCTCTGCCGACTGAGCTACCGAGACGAATGCAGCACTTGACCTAGTAAAAATGGACCCCTAAACTCTTCCAAGGCAATTTCCAGTAAACCATAGACTAAAAACCACTTGATGATGTATGCGCACCTCGGGCGGGGCTCGAACCCGCGGCCACGGGGTTAAAATATACACCCAGATTCTGTGAACTATAGAGTGGGGGAGCGTGGAAGGAATTTGATCGTCAATATCAACGATTGCTGAACTTCAGTGTCTTGAATATCATATTGTAGGATAAGTATCCTAGCACACAAAGTATATCTGTCCTTATTGTGCCGTTCGTATCCTAGCCTAGCTTTGCAATGTATAAGTGTTATATTAGTAGTGAGTGAAGTTGGATCATCATTGTGATCTACTGTTGAGTTAGTCTAACGACTTCTCTATAACTTGGTAGCAGCTCCTTCGACAAGCAGAAGACGCCCTTCTTCAAGTTGTCCTCTATATGCAATGGTATCCGAGTCGACTTCTAATATGCAACTGAAGATTACCCCTGCGTCCTTAGCGGGTTCTAAGTTGACTATTGCCAAGATCGAGGGTTGGTCTAAGAAGTTCGAGACGATAGCCAAATTTTATAATTGGGGTGAGAAGGCTTATGAATATGTTCCGCTGTTCTTGGAAGATAAAGTGCAGGTTGCTTATGATCATATTCCGCTGTCTGATCGTACTGACTTGAATAAGGTGAAGGCTTCTCTCATCCACAGCCTCCTGACTCAAGACCCCTTTGAGGCCTTTAACTCTAGAGTCATGAATGATGACGAGTCGTATCTTGATTTCAGTTATGATCTCAAACAGCTTGCCCAGAAGATGTTATCTGTTGGTGGGAGTTCGGTGGTACCAGATGTGGCTGATGCTCTTGCACGAAGCCAATTCCTTCGTGGTATTGATGTTGAAATGACAGAAAAACTGAGAATGCTTAAATTACAGACGTTGGATGAGATGGTAGAGAGAGCTAAAACTATAAGCCGTGGGAAGGAGATATCTGATCAACGAAAGCAGGAGCTGAGTTTTTATGCTGGTTACTATTCGGCTCACTATGAGGAAAAGGGTAAAGGCAAGGGCAACTACAACGTCAAAGGCGGCTATGAGAGCAAGGGTGTCTATTTGCAAAAGGATCCCTATTGGTTTAATAGGTGCTATTCTTGTGGACGAACTGGTCACCTCGCCAGGGACTGCCCTATGAAGGTGGACCCTGATGATACTACGGGTATGCTGGCTATTGATGAAGATTTCGATGCGGTTGATTTCGAAGCCCAAGACATGGGTAACTGATACAAGAGCATATTTTTAATTTGAGACCCAGCATGCTCCAGTTTTCAGTGGGTCCGTCTAGCAATATCACTATGCAAATTGGTCTCTTAACGCTTGAGGCCATTCTTGATAGTGGTTCTTCCCTATCTATATATCCTAGTCATCTTTTACGACTGATCTCTCCATTTCCTAAACTTCGTTATGTAGCTAAATCACGTATTGTTAATACTGTTACTATTACTGAGAGTGTTACGAAGCCTTTGTTTTTTATTCTAAGTAGTGAATATACATTTGTACATGATTTTTACGTTCTCAATAGTGAATCGTTGTGATCTCCCTTATTGAGAAGAGAAGTAGAGAAGAGCAACCATGAATCAGTAGCAGCAAGCCCAACTCGTGAACTCGTGAAGTTGATGTTGAAGCAAGTATAGCCAAGTGATGAAGAGCAGATAGAAGATGTTCTAGTCGATAGAGAAGAAGATCAGCAGCCGTTAAGAAGGAGTACAAGAGTTAAGCATCCAGTAAGAAGATTGAGTATTGGTCTGACCAATACCACAAGCTATGGTGATAAGATTTATTAGTCTGAGTCGTATGTTTGATAGGATAAGTTTCTTTGTATGTGATCACCTCACTCAGGAAAAGAGGGGAGAATAGTTGTAGGATAAGTATCCTAGCACACAAAGTATATCTGTCCTTATTGTGCCGTTCGTATCCTAGCCTAGCTTTGCAATGTATAAGTGTTATATTAGTAGTGAGTGAAGTTGGATCATCATTGTGATCTACTGTTGAGTTAGTCTAACGACTTCTCTATAATATCCGTGGCTATTCTGATACAGTTAAAGTATACACGCAGATTCTGTGAACTATAAAGTGGGGGAGCGTGGACGGAATTCGACCGTCAATATCAACGATTGCTGAACTTCGGTGTCTCGAATATCGTATCCGTGACTATTCTGATACAGTTCAAGTATACACCCAGATTCTGTGAACTATAGAGTGGGGGAGCGTGGACGGAATTTGACTGTCAATATCAACGATTGCTAAACTTCAATGGGAGACAGAAATTATGCTGACTATCACAACTATCTTTCCAAGGTAGATTAAATATGTGCTAACTTTGCTACGCGACCTGAGAAGTTGAGGCATCTTCCAAAGTACAACTCACGAGACACTACGCTGCTGCTCAGTGGTCAGTATTAGATACAACCCAGCTAACGTGTATACCTCAGCCATGAGGATCAAGAACCTACTCTGTAGGACAAGAGCTTACGGGAGTGAGACTCACTCCCGTAAGACTCACTCAGTGAGTCGGACGATCGACCTGGTGATGGAGTTCGGTCACCCTAAATGGCCCTGCATGGCATGCAGTGCATGCTGCTAGACATGCCCATCTTCTCTTCTCTCAGCGTCTTCTTCGGCTTCATGGCTCTCGAGAGCCCGTCTGGCATAAGGCCGGTCTGACGCCAGTGGCACTAGCCTAGTGTTCAGTACTGCGATTTGACCGTGAAAGCCATCAGAGGTTCACACATCTGTTCGCATCCGCGCCACCTCAGCCGGCTATGGAGACTTGGATGACACTCACACTAACCTGCGTCGCGGTTCTTTATCGCGTCTTTGAAAAGATAAGAGAATAATGAACTCTGTCACCGCTAGACTAACGGCGCTAGCCTCTAGCGTAGCTTGGAGGGCCGCGCCCGCGGCCGACCTGTGCGCGTACCGATCGGCCCACTGTATCACCTCCACCTTCGTTGAACTCCACGGGTTCAACTCGTCAGGTTGAAGTCCGCACCGAGAGGCCTCCTTCCTCGGATCGTGTAGCCTCGTTTCCCGGAACCTCCGGGCCGAAATA